TTATATGTAGATTTATTTTACAACATTATAGATTTATAGGCTCACTCAAAAAATATTATTTATCTATTATTTCATTTATCCAATATTTATTATTTATTTATGTTAGAAATATTTATTATTAGTCATATCTATTCCTATATGTTATGTTATAGCTCCTTAATTACATTGTATTGTGTTATGGTTTTAAGTTGCTCAATGTTGTGTTTTAGCTCTTTGATTGTACTATGTTCTATCAAACATATAGTATATTATATTATAGCCATTATACTTACATTATATTTATTGCATCCTGGAATATTCACGGTGATAGAGAAATATAAAATTTAATGTCTTAACTTTGTACGAAAATCATGCACACAAGCAGATAAAAGATAGGGTGTAGCGTTCATAAGAGACACCAGAGTTTTTATGTGGAAACCCCTGAAAAAGGGGAAAAACAACGGGACCTTGTAGTTTGAATGAATCCACTATTATTTGCAGTCAATTACAAATTAAGCCCTTCCTTGCGGGAAAGGCCTTGGGTTGATGTAGCAAATATATATCATATTACATGGTAGGAATTGAAAGAATTAGTATTGAAATTTTTGTTTAGTCGACAAATTCATAGTCGGCAGGTGACAGAGGTCAGAAATAACATATTTTGGTGATGGTGTTCGGAAGAACCATTTTATGGGGAGGGATGTTGGAAGGACTATAGTCGGCGGGCGATAGTGATCAGAAAGACTATTATATGACAAGGGAGATCATAAGGATCGTAGTTGGTGGGAGACAATGGTTAGAAAGACCAATTTTTTGTTATGGAGGTCGGAAGGACTGTAATAGGTGATGAAAGTCTGAAGGACTATAATTGACAGAAGACAGGGGTCAGAAAGTTTGTTGTCTGGTGATGGAGGTCGGAAAGACCATAGTAGGCGACGAAGGTCGGGAGGACTATAGTCGATAGGAGAAAGGGGTCAGAAAGATTGTTATCTGGCGATGGAGGTCGAAAGAACCGTAGTAGGTGACAGAGGTTGGAAGGATTGTAGTAGGTAATGGAGGTCGGGAGGACCATAGTCGGTAGGAGATAGGGGTTAGAAAGACCGTTACTTGGCGATGGAGGTCGGAAGGACCGTAGTAGGTGATGGAGGACAGGAGGACTATAATCGGCAGGAGATAGGGGGGTCAGAAAGATCATTATCTAGCGATGAAGGTCAGAAGGACCGTAGTAGGTGACAGAGGTCGGAAGGATCATACTCGACATAAGATAAGGGATATAAAGACTATTGTCTAGCGATAGAGGTCAGAAGGATCGTAGTAGGTAATGGATGTCGGAAGGACCTTAGTAGGCAATGGAGATCAGGCGGATCATAGTCAGCAAGAGATAGGGTCAGAAAGACAATTATCTGGCGATGGAGGTCGTAAGACCATAATAGGAGATGGAGGTTAAAAAAGATCATAGTGGGCAGGAGATTAGGATCAAAAATATCATTATCTGGTGATGGAGGTCGGAAGGACCACAGTAGGCAACAAAGGTCGAAGAGACCATAGTTGGTAGGAGATAGGGGTCAGAAAGACCGTTATTTGGTGATGGAGGCGGAAGGACCGTAATAGATGACAAAGGTTAAAAGGATCAAAGTCGGTAGGAGACAACAGTCATAAAGATCGTAGTCGTAAGGCGGTGGTCTAGCGAAATTCCAGGCATTATTCAGTTGTCTAGTAAAATTTTGACTTCTGTCAATGGTCCGACGAAAGTTTGGGCCTTAATTAGTGGTTCGACTATGGTTTGGAAGAACTCCAACATTAGGTGGTTGTCTGGCGGAACTCCGGCATCATGTGGTGGTTCGGTGAAACTCCAGCGTTAGGTGGTGGTCCGGCGAAGTCCGGCGTTAGCCGGTGGTCCTGACGGAAGTCCAGCATCATGTGGTGGTCCTGTTAAACTCCTGCATCATGTGGTGGTCTGGTTAAACTCCTGCATTAGGTGCTGGTCGGGCAGAACTCCGGTGTTGGGTGGTGGTCCAGTTGAACTCCCGCGTCGGTTGTTGGTCTGACAGAACTCCGACGTTAGGTGGTGGTCCGACGGAAGTCCAGGCGGTGGTCGAGGATGAGTGAGGAAGCAAGAGCGATCTTTGATATCTCTCTTGAGTCCTTACTTGGAGCCCCCTACTCTATTTATAGATTTTCTAGAGTGACATGACTTGTAAATAGATTGAAGATCAGAGGTAAGTTGGACTAGTTTGGATGGACTGCCGATGTTGATTCCCTTGATCATAGACCATTTACTGGATATTTGAATGTCTTAGTGATTTCATAATTCAATGATCTTGGGCTCATTGGATACATCTTGTCGAGTCGCTCGATTCGACTATAAGCATGTCATGTTGGGAAACCGTTTGGTACTCCAAATTGTGGTTTGAACCTTCCACAATGATTTGAGTCCTCGATTTAAACGCATTTGGGCTCGGATTGAGTCGATTTTGGTGTCGTTGGGTTCATAATTCCAAGACGCTTAGTTTGACTATAAGTTTGTTGAAATTTGAGTTTGGATGATCCCAATTTTAATTTCGGAAGTTTACAACTTGATTTTGCCTCGAGATTCGTGCCTGATCAAGATGATTTTTTGATGATGTATCAATGTTGTATCAATCATATAGTTTATTATGCTGAAGTAATTATACTGCACTTTGTCTCATCTATCGTAGGTAAATCCTACTTAAACAATATTCTAATAATATTTTAGCCATATTTGAATCCTCTTTCAACGATGTTCAAATCCTCTCAAAATCTTGTTTGAGCCATATTTAAACCATATTATAACAATGTTTGAATCATATTCCCACACTATTTGAACAATGTTAATACTGTATTCGACTACTATTCAAACCATATTAGAGCCCTATCCAAATAATATTCAAATAAAGTTGAAGCATTATTTGAATCAATGCTATTCATAGCAAATTTCAAAAATTATTAACGATCAAAAGGTGGGCTATTGTGATCTAAAACAAACTTTCAAACATATTTCACCAAGAAAACAAGCAATGCGCATATTTCTCATTTTTTTAGTATTATGAGGCACATAAATTAAAATTTTCCAAAATAATACATTAGAATATTATTACATTATTGTATAATAATTTTTTAAAAAATAATAATTAAAAAATAGTTATTTTACTTTGTTTAATTTTAGTAGTAATAGACCTAGTGAGTGAATTGTGACTTTGGGCGATCAAGTCATTAATAAGAGTACACATTTTAGATATCTTGGATATATTTTTTAGAGTGATGGTGAAATTGATGGGGATATTATCAACATAATTCAACTTGGATGGATGAAGTGGAGGAATGCGTCGGGCTTGTCATGTGATAGAAAAGTATCCCTCAAACTTAAGGAAAACTTCTATAAGATGGTAGTGAGGCCTGCAATGCTTTATGGTGCCGAATGTTGGCCATTAAAAGAGAAGTATAATACTAAGTTAAATGTGGCAGAGATGAGCATGCTCAGATGGATGAGTGACTTTACCTTTAGAGATTGGATACGAAATGAGCATATACATGAAAAGGTTGGAGTAGCTCCAGTAGAACATAAGATTAGAGAAAGTCGCCTTAGATGGTTTGGTCACATAAAATGGCAGCCTTCGGATGACCCGATTAGGAGAGTAGATGTATTATATTTGACTTATGTTAAGAAAAGTAGAGGTAGACCTAAAAAGACTTGGTTAGAAAATATTAGGAATGACCTTTCTTTATTAGATTTAAACAAAAATTTGACTTTTAATATAACACAATGGAGAAAAATGATTCATAAAGCCGACCCCCACGTAGTGGGATAAAGACTTGATGTTATTGTTGTTGTTACTTTGTTTAATTTTCAAGATGATTTTTTTTTCTTTCTCTATGTTCTTTGATATAATATATATAAATAAAATTAAATAATTCTTAAAAATTAGAGAAACCCATTTCAATGACTTGCAGATTCACTTCATTTGATTCATCATGTAAGAAAAAGAAGAAACCCTTCACAGCCAATCCCAAGCACAAATGAACAAGATTGAAGATTGACAATAGATCTTAAATCAATCATAAATTTTAAATTGAATTGAACAGTCATCATTAATATGAACAATAAAACAAGTTAGCTCGACATTTGCGGCACTTTCGATGACTTCTGCACCCTAATTAACCAGTGACTACAAAAAAAGACTTAACAAAATCATCTGAATAGCTTCAGTTGAATTCACTCAACTCTCTGAATCAACAATTGAGTAGGGCTGTCAAAATCGGGTCACGGGTCGGGTTCGGGTTCAACCCAAAACTAACCCAATATTGTTCGACCCGACGCAAACCCAACCAGTTTTTGCAACTGGTCAATTTTCCGAACCCGAACCGACCCTCTTCAAGTCCAGGTCAACTCAAACTCGACAAGATTTGAGTATGTTTTACTAAATTTTTTTATTTAATTCAATTTATTTAAATCTAAATTAAATTAAGGTAAGATTCACTTCAATTTATTTAAAAAAAATCAAACTTAATTTAATTTAGGCAATAATATTTATTATTTGTTTAACATATCATTTACTTATTTCATAATAATCTTTTAAGACCCTCCTAAATTAATTAAAACGGATCAAACCAAGTTGATTTTAGGTTTCCGGGTCAACCCGAACCCAACCCAGTCTACAAATAGGTCGAAATCCCTAACCTGAATCCGACCTGATTCGAGTTCGGGTTGAGCCGAACCCGAAATTTTTTGATCAGATTCGGGTCGAATTTTTGGGTCGGGTCAAATATTGACACCCCTACAATTGAGCAATGTAAAGGATTTTACTTTGGTACTCTACAGGGATTGTAGTTTTTGATATGATGATGCTTATCTAGTTGTTCTGTCTTTCCTCTTCATCTCTGGGATTTCTCTCAACGCTTTCAAGCTTTCCTGCATAACTCTTTGAACGAGTTTTAGGCTACCAAACTTCAACAAAACAAAGAAAACTTGAAAAAACTAGACTTAAATGCACATTTAAGTAAACTTTAAGGCATCATTTGGCTACTTAGACATAAATGCAAGTAGAGTTGAAGGAAGGAACCTGACTGAAACTAAACACTTCACTAAGTTTTTATAATTCAAGGACTGGAACTGTTGCCTTACGCAACAAATACATCTCGAAGAGATCAGATCCATAGTGAAGAAAGCACACAATTACTACTGCCAATATGCAAAGACCAGTTTACTGGTTACAGAGACAACAAAGGAGTGAAAGAATAAACCCACCCCCAACCTTTATCACATAATGATACAGAAATAATCACAGGATTTGAACTGAGTTTTAGCGCCTATGCCGCCTTCCATCAGCAGCATAAGGAGTTTGTCTCCTACTAAATTTATCTGCTTGAGGTCTCAAGGAATCTCTGCGACGACGAGATCCCAATGGAGGCTTACTAAACCGTACAAATTCATCTACAGGTCTTGTTTGCAGTGATCCACTTGCTGGGGCTTCAGAGGGAGGGCATGGCCCGAGCAAACCAGGCCGAGATCTTTGCTGCAAATCATGGCTTTGAGAAGGATGAAATGATAACGGTGCACATTTAGTTGCAATCGGAGGTGGCTCATCGGGAAGCTCAAGGTCGGGTGGGCACCATTCAGGCATGTCATCATCGTCATCATCCCAGAGGCTTTTACGTTCCAAACCAAATCCATGCCTTGGATTGTTACCCAAATCCTTTGTTTCCTTCAGGAAACTCGGCTGACAGGTTAACTGATAACGCTCAGTTGAAGGAGTCTTCTCAGAGATAAACCTTCCGAAGTTTTTGGGAAGGGAAAGTCCTTCATTGGAATTTAGTAAGTTGCTGGGAAAAGTTGAAAGCTTAGGCCTATGTTGCAAGGCCTCAAACGGCTTTGTGCTTGTTTCTATTGAAGTGGGATCACCTGCGCTCCAAGGTGCTTCAAATGAGAGTTTTTCATTTCGAGGCGGCGCATTGAGGAAATGAGTTTGCTGAGAGCATCCGGGAACAAATCTGCTAATGGGCGCTTCTTGTTCTCCACATGCAGAACTGAAGTCAAATTCTGGGAGATCATCATCATCTTCTTTTTCTTTTTCTTTTTCTTTTCCATCACTATTGGAACCCTCACAAGTTAGCTGAATTTGAGGAACAGAAGGCGCACTTGTCTCCAAAACATCATGGGGTCCTCTTGTTACTATCTGATGCATGATATGAATCTCATCTTGTAGCATCCCTCCATTAATAATAGCCTGAAAAGATATCATTGAGTTGGGAAGTTTTCAAGTAGGAGTTTAGCATGAGAAATTACATCAAGAGACCATTTCGATCGGACAACTGACCTTGGGTATGTTTTCATTTGACTGGGTGAGTCTATGCAGGAGCTCAAGCGGTAAAGGAGGCCGTTCAAGAAGAGCAGGTTGTGTTGCTTGAAAGCATGGATCAAGATTCTTTCCAGCACAGTTTGAATCACTCCCAGCACTGGAATGAATCTTCAGCTCCACTTGTGGCTGAAACTGAAAATTTGAGGAATTTACAGGGATTAAAGGCCTGGGTCCTGGAGCAGGACCAGAGCCAAAGTTTCCAAGGCTCTGTGAAACACTGCTTGAAAGAGAATTTCCCAGCATAACTGCAGGAGCAATTTGAGAAGGTAAAGCAAACTGTGTCCACGAGTTTGAAACCAGAACTGCTTCATCTTTTCCTGAATTCTGTGCTAGAGGAATAGTGTCAGCTGGCTTCCTATTCTCCTGCAACAAGTTCAAAGAAGGCCTCTCAGGAGTTTTCTGCTGAGCTGGTACTACCGGAAAACTGTATGGGATTGAAGAAGATATTGTTTGGACGGAACCACCTTGGAAAATGCTGGCATGGTGTAAATTGCTACTTGAAAGTGCAGATTTGTTTTCAGTAATCATAGATATTGTATTATCAGTCAGAGAAATGACTGTACTAGCCCCAGAAGCAGGCAGGTCCAAAGCTGCTTTTAGTTCTGTTTCAGTTGGCATAAGTTGCTTCTTTTCACATTCACGTGCTTCCATGGCAGGTGAGTTCATTCCTTGAATGGGTGTTCCAGTTGAATTGAGGGGCTGCTCTATGAGAGTTTTCTTCCCCGCTGTATCTTTAGAAACGTAGTTTGTGGATGATTGGCTTCTACGCCATACAACACAACCAATTAACGAATCCTGATCTTCTTCAACTGCTGCCATTCCTTTGAAAAAACCATACTTAGCGAGTATAGTAATTATGATGTCATTACGAGGGCATACATAAAGATCGAAGCCTGGAGCTATTTGTGCAAACCCAACCTTCTCAGATTCCGTATAACCCTTTGCAACCTGAAAGATTAAATGAAAAATATCAAAAAATAATGAGGAATCTTGAATATTCAAGAGGAACAGCATAACACAGTGCCATACCTCCCTCATGCCTGCCAGGTCACTTTTGCAAGATCCAACCTTCCAACAAAGGGATATTACCTAGAAACCATGAAGCCTATAACCTCTCAGCATAACAGGTTATCTAAGCAATGGAGGTCTAATTATAAAATATTTAACCAGTAAGTAGAACCATTTCTGGCAAAATATGATGACATACCAGCATGCTTTCTGCTCCCCATGTTTATATATGATAAATTTGCAGTGGTAATATTTTCACATGAATAAAAAAGTGCTTTCATTTATTTTGTAATGTTGAATTTGTACAGACCATGATAGTTAAGACTAGACCATACAATCGTGAAAGGTTTTGATTTAGATGGATCAATTTGATGGAGAACTGTCCTGTGGTAGAAGATTTTTCCTCCAACTCTATCCCTATATCCCTTAGGTAAAGCATTTGAATCAATAAAAAAGCTTTTCTTCTATATGAAAAGATATTCTTACATTCCGATTCTATTTCAATACCTCCTAAGAAAAATCTCGAATTAGATCCACAATGGACGGGTTGGTGTGAGCTTATCTATGCGGTTGTGCACTTTTCAAATATGAATCCATTTTCTGAAAGAGCCTAGCTTTCCTGCTTTGGTGAGTTGTTTGAGATCTTTTTAAAGTTATAATTTATATGATTCAATCAATTGCGCTAAGGGCCGCAATACCAATAGAACCAGAAAAGTATATCAAAAAGACAGTTCTTCTTACTATGTTTGTGATAGTTCTCTTCTTGACAAGGGCTTACTCAATTTCACTTTCACGAATAGTTTTCATCACAAATAATTTGAATAGAATGCTTAAAAATAGGTATGCATAATGCATGGAGCTACCACTAATGCGAGTATGAAAAGGAGTAAATTTGTCGGTGCATAAACAAAGTGACTAATTTAAACGAATAAAACTAGTGACCTTCGAAATACACGAAACTTAACCATTAATGAATGAGAGACTATCTAAAGTCTAATTCAGCCCAATTGGAACTGAATTAAGCAAGACTAAAATCTTAGGCTTTAGTCATGTCAAAATAAGACTAGCAGGATCCAAACAAGCATAAAAAAAGGAGGCTTGTGACATTAAGGTGGGTGAGCTTTGTGCGCGCTTTTCTCTAACGTGGCGGGGTAAAAATTAAGTACCCGTTTATGTGCCTCAGTGCTAGCGGGGAAAAATTGCACTTTCAAACAGGCACTCCTGAAGACTCATGCACGCCTTTCTCTGACATGGTGAGACCGAAGACTATGTCGCGGTATCGTTAGAAATCGAACACGCACGTCTTTCTCTAATGTGATGGGCAGGTTATGACTCCTGTAATTTTCCCTAAATGAGGGCTGGAGGGCTGCCAAAATTTTCAAAGAACAGAGGACCTAAAATTGAGCAATAAGGACAACAAGGAACCAAACTCATAATTACAGGGAACAAGACCTAACCTCTAAAACAACCCTATAATCTTGCAAAATAACAAAATTAATTGTGCAAGTGAAAATTAAATGAAAAGTGCAATGATATATTGCAACAATGATATATTTGCAATTAATAACATAAACCTAAATGAAATATCAAGGAGTCATTACATTGATTGGAATGCAAACATTAACAAGCGAGTTCACTATACAAGCTGTGAGTTATCTTCAAAGGACAACAAAAAATTTATAACATTCAACATAACTCATCGATAAGAAATAATTAACAAAGATTGTAGATAATATGGTGACTTGCTTGCATACAACAATGGAAGGCAAGATGAGTGTAATGTATGCCATGATTCATTCATGAACAAATGTAGAAGATGCACAATGGATACAATAGTTGTATATGTACTTTTCCCATGAGTGATGAAATTAAAATGGCATATCACGTTCCGTTAGTTAATTTATAGATAAGGGCCAAGGACCTACAGTGAGTACCAGTTCTTATGAGCATACGTAGTAGACTTGTGGTATGCGGAATGATTCACCTAAGGGTGCAAGCACAAACTCATGACGCCCATGGCAACCCGCATACAAACAAACTACAAGTAGTTTGTAGGGGATAAGCTCTCAATGCACATAAATGAAGAATAGTTAAATTGAAATAACTTGGAACATTCCAATCAAATCAATCTGCAAGTAAAAATCAATTGAAAAATATGATATGAAGCCTCCTATAAATGTTGAAGGTCTTCAAGCCAATTGGATGCTAATATCAACTAGCAGTGCTGTCAGGTTCGTTATGCATGTTGCAGATCACTTCTAAGGATGGTAAGGAATGTGCAATATACATATGGAAAATGCTACACCTGCACGCATGCAAGCAATGATAATAGGGAAGCAGTAATCATGGTGATATCCCTACAAACACATACAATGCAACATACAGTGAAACTCAGCCAACAATCAACATCGACCTACAACAAAACACACTAACGCCTACAAACGATGGCGAAGAATATGCAGCAGATGCAAGCTTCTATGAGCTACTACAAAAAGCTCGTCATGCAGAAAGCAGCAAAATGAGTTATAGCATCATGAATAATAACAAATGATCCATCATGCATTCAGTAGCCTACCTACGGGTAGAACTAGAAGATTTGTATTCAGTGTCACTTGTCCGCAAACGACAGCGAAAGGTTTGCAGTATATGCAGCAACCTTGCCTACAAATAACGAAAGTGAACGTACTGCAAGTGTGCATTTACTATAGCCAAAAGAAATAAGCTCGTAATAAATTGATGTAAGCAAGCCCTCCCCCTTGCTTTGGGTTATTCGGTTCCTGCATAGCTTTCCCGATTCCCTTGGCATTTGCTGACTTGAGTTGCTAGCTGCTGAGTTCTTGTTGCTCATTTGGTTGCCCGGGTTCATTTCCCCTGTTTTTACCTCTTTGTTTCCTCTGCCTATCCCGGTTCTTTCCCCCTGGCGTTGTTCGTTCGTTGGTTGTGTCCCGCGTGCCTCTTCGTGAGTTGCTCCAACCGGGTGTATTTTTGGTCTTTTGCCTCCCTCTGTTTTATTGGTTTGATTAAGCGGCTATTTGGATGTTTGGCTCCCTTTCTTCTCTTATAAATAGGGGTTGTTTTGTGACATTTAGAGAAGATTATGGTTATTTTTTTGAGTTAAAAACCTGAGGGTTTCTTCTTGGATAGCTTGCAAGCTATATCCACTTTCTCTTCTCCTCCATTTGGCTTCATCTTGGGCTTCTTATCTATTTATTCTCTCCGCAAGTGTCCACCCTATTTGTATATTTCTTCTCAAACTTTTAAAAATATTTAGTTGTAAGCATCAATTAAAAAGCGGTCGAGGTGTCCAAACAGAGGCGCGACTCAATTCGAGGCTCTAACCCAGCGCTTTGAAGCTTAAGCCTCAATGTATTTGACGAGGTGTGTGATTTTTTTCGATGAGGCGTGCGATTTTTTTCAGCGAGGCGTAACGCCTCGAGGCAGCGTGAGGCGACGCCTCATTTTAGGATTCGACGGAGCTTACAGAGAAGAACAAATTCCTTATCTTTCAAGCGCGCTGCTTCAACTTCGTCCCTTTTGAGAGCTGCTTCGTGTTCGACCACAAGTGAGTTCTTCGATCCGGCAGAAGTGCTCGCGGACGACCTTTCTTCCTGTTCGACGCTGGTTTGGATTCGTCACGCTTCGTGTGAAGTCGGAGCTCGAACTGAAGATAACACTACATGTTCGACCACTGTTTAAGCTTTACCTGCTTTCGCTTTCGTGTACTTTGGCTTCGACAACTGCAGGTAATGGGCTTTCTTCCTTTGCTCAAGGAGTTTAAAACAACAAGAATTAGTTTTATGCTTCTCTTCTAAAGGCTAATATTCAGCGTCTTAAAAGCATTGCATGTCTCGCCACCATTAATCAATAAAACCACTAACTGAATAATATCAATATCAATTGTCTTTTTTTTGTTGTTGGAAAAATTTCATATTAATTAAATATACATAAAATATTGATAAAAATTAATCAAAGTGAAGCTCAAATTTTTATATCTATTTTAAAATTTATAGAATATTAATAATTTATATATTACTATTTTTAATATATGCCAAAGAACTTTAATATCATCATGATTAAAATTCTTATCAAGATATTCTGGTAATTTTTTTACATATCTTATTATTTATTTTATGTTAATTGAATCAAATTGTTCTTTAGTCTTATATCTATAAGTCTATTTAACATTGACATTATAACTCTCTTTTAATTTAAATTTTGTTTTACCTTAATATTCTAATTAATATTGATTAATATTTTGTCATTATTTATAATTTTAAATTACCTTATTTTTATCGTTTTGAGGCTTACGCCTCGATCCGCCTCGAGGTTTACGACTCGCCTCGCTTAGACAAAACGCCTCGATTCCCGATTTCGCCTTTTAAAACCTTGGTTGTAAGTTGGTTGTGTTGTGTTATAGTTTATTACAAGTTGAAAAGTTGTATTGTGTTTTTTAAGAAAGTATTGCTCGTTTGAGTTGTCTTTTTTTAAGTTATATTAAGGAAAGTCTTGTTTGTGTGTCACCTTAGCAGGATTTTGTCTATTATTGTGTTATTTTTTGTTATTTTGAAAGGAAGATGATATATGTTTGCAATCTTAGCTTTTCCTAAATTTTTTATTGAATCACAAATGCAGACATACACAAGCATTTGCAAGAAACTTGTCAGTGCATGACAGTCCACCTGCATAAAGCAACAAATGATCTGTAGAGTAGCGCCACGCCACCGGATCCACAACATTCGTGCAATTTGACAAAAGGCATTCACCGGCTCTTCAAGGAAGTTAGTGTATCTTTCAAACGATCACCACTTGCCAACAAGAATTTAGTGTTGCACGACAACCCATCTACGCCATCGGATCTACAACATGTATACAAGCCGACAGAAGGCGTCTACCAATTCCAATACATAACACATCAGCAAAGACAACGTGCAAAAGATGAAATTCAATTCGCAATGCCACGCCACCAGATCTGCAACATGCATACAAGCAGAAAAAATGAGTCTATCAATTCCAATACATAATACATCAGCAAAGACAACATGCGGAAGATGAAATAGATGAACCGCATTGCTAATGCATGA